TCATTTATTTATTGTTTATTATTACTCGTTTGGAAACAAATAACTTTCTTCGTAAAGCCAATCACCCAAATGCTGGTCGTAAGAGGCGACCACATTGGACAACCTGATTGCCTTGGGTTGCGTCCCTGTGTCGATGGAGGACACTGGGGCACTGAATTCATTAATGGCGTTCCTTTCCACATTGCACCACTTCGACCCTTACTTCACCCAGACAGGGGATAGAATGGGTCCGATTCTATCAATTTTATGGTCATGTCAAGCCCTGAGTTTGAATATTGGGCATGTCGTTACTCTATAAACTCTTTTTTGAATAGTCTTCTGTACATAAAGTGTGTAAGATACTTGCCTAGAGCAGTTTACACAGAAGGCGGTGGCTCATGGGTCAATCTAATTGATCCTCTGGATCTACTGGTCCCTGAATAACATTCCCATATCCCGTTGGTGTCAGTTTGCTGGGCTGCCGCTTATATATGATCGGCGCCCCGTGGCGGACAGGGAGCCGGGTTACTGAACGTAAATATATACGATGGGTAAACTTAATCCACAAAAACTAAAACGGCAATTTTCAGAATCAGATTCGGAACTTAATTCTTCTGATAATAAATTTGTTACAAAGTTACTCTATTCTGAGAGGTATAGTTGGCCTCGTTTTATCGTCATTGATGCAAATGGTGAATGTACCCTTACTTCATATTCACCATTTCATTCGGGAAAAGGGTTGTAAAGTACAATCGGATATTTAAGAGGCATGACAAAGCTGCGTTCAGGAGGACTTTTGGTTGAATGTGCCAGCACGTTTCAAGCAATTAATATAATGACTTCCACAAAACTGGCTGATAGTCCAAATAAATTCTCTGCTCACGAGACCCTCAATTTCTCCAAAGATTTATCTTGCTGAAGATGTGTGGAATTTGATCAAGATAGCAAGACACGCACCAACGCGAGCAAGTTTTTCCATTGCAAAGACGATTATATGGCTTCTTCAATGTGGAAGTACGAGCAAAAAAAGTAAATGTTAGGAGAAAGTCAGCTACCCTATTGCCAGAAAACAAGCTCGTTTACTCACACTTGAAAGCATACTAAATCCATTTATGATAAAAGCATTTGGTGGCAGAGCAATTTCTGTTAAACAAGGAACACTTCACAGTCCTACTTCTATAAATACGACCCTTTCAGCCAGTGGCAGTACGCCTAACCTTCCATGTTGCCATTATTCTACAAAATCTTCACTTGTTTCACCTCTTGGGATAAGCATCCAACTATTCATTATGCTACAGGCATTGATCTGGAAAATATATCTCCTTTCTTTCTTTCCTCCATGGCAATTCGTAAGGCCCCACGTTGACCTTGCATTGACCACATTAAAAAGTCAGAAACAAATGAATTACAATATAGACAGAAATTTAATGATTTAGGAATAATAATGATACATAAAAATCTATATTTACAGATGGGTCCAAGGATGGTGGCGCAGTTACTTGTGCCACTGTCATTGAACCCAGAGCATTATCTTCCCGATTACCGGAAAACAGCTCTATTTCCATAGCAGAAGCTAACGCCATATTAACAGCTCTTAAATATATTAATAAACACCGTAAATATAAACAATATATAATCTTTACAGACTCTCTCGTTCACTATTCCATACTCTGATTACGAACCTATCATTAGATCTTACATCCGTGATCTAATGCAAAAGAAGTGCCACTACCCAGTAGGTATCAATAAATTACGTCAAATAGAACGAAGTATCGGTTACACCTACCTGGGCTGTCAGTGCAGATTTGAAGATGACATTATGCGACGATGTCGCATTGGTCATATCTGATACACCCATGTATATTTGCTGAAAGGTGAAGATCAATGATATTTTAAAATTGGTAGATTAAATTTGTAACTGAGATTGTTAGTGGCTGTATCCTCAAAGGAGGTTAAGTTTTGTAAAATGATTGTCCCCCTGAGAGGGTACGTAAATGCCAACACTTTCAAAGTACAATTTGATCTGTCAACCTTTTCAATCGTAGTATTGATGCCATATTTTATTTATGGCTAAATCTCGGTATACTCGCCAATGCCTGAAGGGATGGTGTAAGTCCAGCTAGGGGCCATGCAGGTAGCAAAAGTACTGTAAGTTCCCATGGACACTAGTATGGTGATCCACCTTCAGTTGTTGGCGTTCAATAGCCTGTATTTATATTATATCGTTTTCTATAGTTAAACTGTTTTAGATTTAATTGCTTGTTTTAAGTTCATATGTGTGATACAATGCAGTTTAGTTGTTTCACTGTCCTTCGTTGACAGGTTTTTATAATTTAATTGCGTTTATTATGAAGTTATAACTTTTAAAGTCACGATATGGCTGAAATATTCCCATTGTGACCATAAACGTTTAACTCACTCACTCATTTTATATTATGTTTTGTCCTAAAAGTACTTTTAGTTTTAACTTAACATACTAGTTTTAATTCTAACTGGGATAGTCTATATTGTTTTATTGCCCTTTCACGCCTGTCACTATCAAATTCGGAAACATCGCAAATGGGCGAGTTTGTTTGGAGATCGGCGATTATGACTTCAATACATATTTAATTATTGGGTCAGTATACTAAGAGAAAATACGTGGCTTTTGGAACGTCAGGTGTAGTTATAATGTGAACTTATCTTGCAACAAAGCTTTACAAGTAACAATATTTATGTATTTCAATATTTATTTAAATGTTTGGAATTGTGTTAAAGTTCGCATATCGCGCTTTATGGATGGTTTGGTGGCCTTTGAGAAGACGAAGGGCCTTCTTCAAAGTTACAGAAAAGATGCGAGTTGTGACAAATTATTCGTTGTATACATATGCAGATTAAAAATTAATACATAAATAATGTAAAGGATTTTTCAGATTTTTATATAAATCATTTAAAATACACAAACATGTATATATGACAATATCTTATCTTCTAATATGTTTCTAATTAGATAAAACAATACTTTCGTAATTTGTTTGGACCCGTGAAGATCCGGATTAGAATTGATCTTCAGCAAACCGATGCATGTCTTAAGTGGCGACTAACGGGATCGGGTGGTCAGGCTCACTGACTTGGTTGACACATGTCATCGTATCCCAATTGCGTAAATCGACGCTCATGATGTTGATCACTGGATTGTGTGGTCCAGACTCGATTATTTACAGACCGCCGCTATATAGCTGGAATATTGCTGAGTGTGGAGTTAAACAACAAACAAACAAACAAACCTTTCCAATAGTATATAATATTGATGTTTATGAAAACAGGTTTGACACTAAGCGGGGAGCCCATACCAGTATGTCATTTCAGCTGCTATGTAAAAGGATTCCCTGCCCACCTGATTGAAGGAAACGTCTCCCCTGACAACTTTCACAACATGATAACAGGTTAGTTCATCCAAATGAATTAATGTGGAACATGTCCTTTCAGAGAGTGGGGTCTAGTTGATAAGATGGTTTCTGCCCGGAAAACGGTGTTTCGATTCATTGACCGCGCCATGCCAAATGCCGCTGAAGATGGTACATGTTCTGATCCTGTATGGCGCTCGTTTGGTTGGTTGGTTGTTGTTTAACGCCGCACGCAGCATGTTCCAACTTTTTAGCGGCGGTCTGTCAATAATCGAGTCTGGACCAGAAATTCCAGTGATCAGCACCGACCTTCGCAATTGGGATACGATGGCATATGTCAACCAAGTAAGCGAGCCTGACCACCCGATCCCGTTAGCCTCCTCTTACGACAAGCATGGGTTACTGAAGACCAATTCTAACCCGGACATTCACGGATGTGGTCGGCTCGGATTTAGTGTAGTGTGTCTAGTGTATAGTTGATTAGTTTATTATATAAAAAAACCAGCATGGTACTTCTGTATGGTTGCACTATAAAACCACGGATGTGGTCGGCTCGGATTCAGTATAGTGTGTCTAGTGTCTAGTTGGTTAGTTTGTTATAAACAGCATGTAACTCTGTATGGTTGCACTATAAAACCACGGATGTGGTCGGCTCGGATTCAGTATAGTGTGTCTAGTGTAAAGTTGGTTAGTTTGTTATAAACATCATGTAACTCTGTATGGTTGCACTATAAAACCGACAAAGCAGCACACATGGAAAAGGTTATACCATAAGAGAAATAATCTTGAACGCTTTGTTACATCCCACTTCCCCTTAAGAAAATGGTAGCTTCCTACTTTCTGAGTAAATTACCCATCAAATGATATCCGATGCTTTTCCCTGTTTTCCTTATTCATTCATTCATTCATTCATTCATTCATTCATGTTTTAAATTACTTATTTACTATTATTTATTTGTTGAAATATTTAAAGACTTATTCATTTATGATGTTTTTCGTTCGGGATGTGAGGTGTGTGGAAGGTGTGAGTGTTTAATGCTCGCCGCATCGCAGACGCATAGCATTATCACTAACTGGCAGTGGTGGTGGAATTGGGTTTAACGTCGTGCTTGAGAATATTTCACTCATATGACGACGTGCATGCGTGTGTATGTGTATGTGCGGCTGCTTGTACTAGCCAAGACTGAAGCTGGTTTTATAGTGCTAGCCCACTGAGATACCATGCCGCAGTGAAGCATGAATACCCCACTCAGACACATTATACTGACTCCGAGCTGACCAGTCCTTGTTGTACCCATTAGTACCGAGCGCCAGGCAGGGACCAACATGTACCATATTTTAACGTCTTTTGGTATGACGCGGTCGGGGATCGAACCCGCGACCTTCCGCTCTCCGGGCGGACGCTCTAACCACTACACCACGGAGGCGGTACTAACTGGCAGTGATTCATAAATGCATCTAAAAGCTGTAGTCGGAATGCTATACTCGGAAACATATACGGAACGCTATAGTACTTAGAAGAGACTTCTTATCATTTTGAAAAGGGTTGGTAAAACGAATCATGTATATTTTGTCGTAATGTACATACAGCAGGGATTACCCTTCTGACGTGTTTCAGGAGACGCGACTCCGGTAGATTTCTACAAGTTCCACAGATGGGAACGGATTCCTCAAAACGAAGGTCTGCCCAAACCCGTAGTTCTTACACCACACTTAATGAAGCACATGTATGAAGATCCCAAGTTTATAATCATTCTGAGGAACCCCACAGAAAGGTAACCAAGCAATACGTACCAGAATCTGGCGATCACAGTTCAACACTAACTTCCAAAACATACATACCCCGTACTTGATATTTCCTGCACGAAAAGTGTTTGTTCATGGTGAGAAAACTCAACGCCTTTTTAGCATTCGAAACGTTTTATTGTATATATATTGATGTAACTGTCATCCGTAACCAAAGTGAAAATATGATGCAAGTCCCTATTTTGACCTGTATCACATGTTCTACCTTTGTTCATCAGTGGATTGTCTTTGTATGAGTTTGCGGAAGGTACCATTGGTTGGGCAGGTTACGCTCAACTTCAGGCAAACACATGGGGCTAATTTCACTTCCGCGAAGCAGCCTTTACTAACGTTAACCTTAACTCCCATTTTTAACATTGCAGTAAGGTTACCTTAGTTACTTACGATCACCTTAGTGCTTTGTGACAGGAGGCCCTGGAAATTTTGATATTTTTTTATACACACATGCTTGTGAGAAAGTCGGAATCGAGCCTGGTTTAAGCAGAGATGTTTGACTGTGGATCGGTCTTTGTCGATCGCACTAAAATAATCATTAGGCTAGGTCGAAATGTGTGATTAGGATTTTCGACTTGAGAAACACATTTCTTGATTTAAGAATACGAAACATTCGTTGATATACCAAACACGTTGGGTAGTGTTACATATTATCATTATCACATCAACGGATGGCAATGTGAGCAAACGTAATTACCGTACTGGTGGTAAGTGGTATCGTGCACACAGCACAGGTCCTAACTCAGGTGAACATTGACAACTTTGGTTGCGGAGAGCCCTCAGATGCGGGATCGTTGTTCGGCAACCTGACTCTGAGTCCCTTTCTAGGAGTGAGTGAGTAAATTGGTTTTTGCGTCGCTTTTAGCAATATTACAGCAGGGGACAGCAGGAATGGACTTCACACAATAAGGGGAATATGTGGAATCAAACCCGGGTTTTCAGCTTGACGAGCGAACGCCTTAACCACTAGACTACCCCACCGCCCCTCCTTTCTAGGACCCCGGTCCTGCCATACCTGTAACACATCGCCTGTCATCTATGTCAAGAGACTTTGCCTGTGATATGCCGGTAGGTTTAGACACGATAATGTCGCTGATAACCTTCTAGCGCTCACGGGGTGGTCGGGTAGCCGGGTAGCCAAGTGGTTAAAGCGTTCATACAGTGTTATATCATTTAATGTCTTTTATTATTTTTTTAATTTTTAAATTTTTTATTTAGTCAAATATTACAGAAAACGCATTTCACGAGTATTTACAGTATACATTTTCCGGATTGAAACATTTTTTGAAATTTATGGTGGAAGCCTGTATTCTGCTGTTATATCATTTAATGTCATAGAATGCAGTCAAATGAAGGTCGATGTATATTTGGTAATTCAATTACATGGTTTTCCCACGTGGCCGTCATCTCCATGTATAACTGGAAAATTGCTAATGCGGCATAAAGCAATATTCATTCATTGATTCATTCAAGTCTTTTAATTTATTCAGCGTTTGGTGAATATATTCATGACATAGAATACCACCTACAATCACTATTATGTCTTGTTATGTTCTTTATATCAACATTCTTCGCAACGTTCACATATTGGATTTTATATAGCGATCTCTGAAACATTTGTCTATTTGGATATATTTTCACTTGATGTGTTATCTATTGTCACATTACGTGATTCAATTTGGTTTTTATTCGCAGTAATACTTTTACATAATCGGGAGGTGTTTCCCTTGAAAAAAAACAACGCGCCAAGACATGGCGAATATAAACTTGGTTCTTGAAGATTAAACCTTTAAGTTTTATGGACACTCACGTCATCACGTGACCAAGGACCAAGCATAACATCAAGTCCCTAAAAGACGTTTTATGTCTGACATTGGAAATAATTTTCTTTTCGTTGTTTAACGCTGCATTAATAGTATAAAAACTGTAAACAGTCGAGTTTTGACCAGACAATCCAGTGATTGAGCATGGATCTGCGCAAACGGGATACGATGATATGTTTGAACCAAGTCAGCAAGTCTGACCACCCGATCCCTTTAGACAAACATGGATAGCTGAAGACGGGTTAAAATTTGGATTGACTGATTATATGCAGTGGATAATTTGATGTCACTTTCGATACGTGTAAAGCCCATTTCTGGTGTCCCTCGCCGTGGTATTGCTAGACTATTGCTAAACGCGGCGTAAAACTAAAGTCACTCACTCACCCACAATACATGTAAAATGCATAATGCTCATAGAGTCGAACCCAGATGGGCCCAACTCGGATATATCGAATTCTCTAGAACCCCAATATGAGTTGACACTTGCTAATTTGAGCTAAATCTCTATTTTTAACGCAACATATACTAGGCATAAGAAATAAGGGAAACCCCAAGTGGAATTTATAGTTGAAACAATGCCATATAAAAGTTGCAAGCTGATTGCATGCGAACCCAGGTCGGAAATCACTTACGGCTGACACCACTGTCAGCACCATGATACACGTGCATCATGCACCACATGTGCATTCTTGCCTATAAAACTGACAGTAAGCGTGTCCCTCTATCTCTTGTGAAAATGCCACCTCGACAGTATCTGACAAACGCACAGAAATGGCAGGCCATTGGCATGATAGAGGGTGGATAATCTCAGAATAGTGTTGCCGGGTTCTTCAGGAAGTCCACAAGTGTCATTTCCCGTCTCATCAACCTTTACTGTCAGACAGGGGGCGTTAAAATGAGAACCGGTCGAGGAAGACGCCCTGAAACCCAAGACAAGGCAACATCCTGAGAGCTATAGCTCTGACGAATCGATTTGTCACAGCCCCAGATTTGAAGATGGAATTCTTCAGAACCACAGAAACAAGGATTTCGAACTCTACTGTACAAAACAGGCTCCGTAGCAGAGGCTTGAAGTCAAGACGTCCATTCAAAGGCGTGACGATGACAGCTAACCACAGACGTCTTCGTTATCAGTGGGCTCGGCAACGTCAGAGGAGGGGGAACCGGCAACGGCGAAATGCGATGTTTAGTGTTTTTGTTTGCGATTCACGGATGGACGATTGCGTGTGTGGCGCCGTCGAGGAGAACGTTATGGGAGACCCACGGCACAGGAACCTCTTATGGAGGCGGCTCTATCATGGTCTGGGGAGGAATTTCTTTCAATAGGAGGGCTGATTTGATTCTTGTACGGGGTAATTTGACAGGCCAGATGTGACGGTATATGGACGAGATCTTATGGCCACACGTGGTTCCAATGGCTCACAGGGCAGGTCGAAATTTTTTGTTTCAGGACGATAATACACGTCCTCACAGAGCTCGGGTTGCCGTGAACTTCTTGCAACAACAAGGTGTTACAACTTTACCCTGGCCGGCTAAACACCAGATCTATCCCCTATCAAACATCTGTGGGATGTGCTAGGGCGTCGAGTCTCAGGGAGTCTCAGGGAGCATGCACCAGCAAATCTTGATGCGTTAGGTAGAGCACTGCAGGAAGAGTGGCACTTGATTCCTAGGGCGACAATTCAGAGGTTGGTGTCCAGCATGCCTGCAAGGTGTCGTGCATGTATTGCTGCTCATGGTGGACACGCTCGTTATTAAGTATATCTGACATACTTACCGTACGGTTGTGCTGATTAAATTATACATGCTTCACAAAGTGAAGGGGTTCCTTTATATTTTGTGCCTGGTATATATACAATAACTTGCATACAATTCATGTAAATGCTTATATGTATGCAATGACAAACGCTTCTGAGTTTAATCTTATTGCATCGCTGTATCATATATACAATTCCGTATTTTGACTGTGAAAGTGGAATTGTACATGTGACGGGTGCCATTTTTAATGCGTGTGGAAATGGTGTTTGTAGTTTTTATTGTTTGCATATATTCTTTAGCGGCATACATTAAAGTCGTATGAAGAAATACCACAGAGTTCCATATTAACGTACAAGATGAACGGCGGTGGGGTAACCCAGTGGCTAAAGCGTTCGCTCGTTACGTTGAAGGCCCGGGTTCGATTCCCCACATGGTTACGCTGAGTGAAGCCCATTTCTGGTGTCATCCGCCGTGATATTGCTGAAGATTGCTAATAACTATGTAAAACTAAACTCATTTGTAATTACTTTCTATATTACATAAAGTATGACAGTTTAATCGGTTTATGTTCAGTAAATAAATATTGTACAATGTATAACAATTTCAGACTATACTCGGATTACATATTCCTGAACCATGGGGATTCACCTCAGTCATTTCATAAGGATGTGCTACAAGCTATTCAGATCGAGGAAGATTGTATGAGGAACAACTCCTTATGGTGGTGTCTTTACAGCTTGGATTTATGTAATCAGCTCCCGGTAAGCCACCAGCTGTCAAGGTTCCATTTCCAATATACTCGTAAGACCCCATGGTCCCTAGTACGGTGATCTACTTTCATTTGTTAGCAATCTATGCCTTTTATATTGTATTACACTCTATAGTTAACATTTTTAAATTTAATTACTAGTTTTACATTTTTATCTATAATATTCTGGTCCTTTTTAGTGTCCTTCGCCGACAGGTTTTGTTATAATTTACCTTTATTTATTATGAAATTATAACTTGCTTTTAGTCCCGATATGGCTGAAATGTTGTCGATGTCACATAAAATCTTAACTTACTCACTCACTTCAATATACTCACACGAATGCGAATCGACGTGATCTCATAGGCACGTAAGGATTGACTTGGTTGCGAAAACAAATTGTCCCCCTAAGCGAAAATTATTAAACGCCGCACTACAAATTCGAAAGGAAAACCTTTTGACAACAAATTGAATATGTGTCTCTATGTTAGTCGCCTAGTGCGTCGTTACATATTGACGTCAGAAGTACGGGGTTGATTTCTAAGTGTTGACACGTAACGTGTGTCGAAATGAATAATATTTATTGTGTTGAACTGACCAATGATTTTAACGGTGCATTAAAGATGTACATTAAATAGTTTTAAATTGATAGATAAGTGCCAAAAGACATGAATGACGGCCAAGACTGTCTTCGAGTCTATCATTTCATGGTCTTGGTTACTACAAAAGGTTGGATCGACAGTATGCTATCATTCCGATATCTTTGATATGGAGTTTTAGCACAACGTCATTATGTCATCTTGTTTCAGTGAGTGAGTTAAAATTGTACATCGAATCGGCACTGAATATTACAGCCATATAGCGATGAAACCAAGGTAATCAATTGAAATAGCTGTCGACAAAGGACAGTAAAACCAACTACACTATCACAGATATATACTTAAAACTATCAATTAAATCTAAAAAACCTTTACTATACAGGACGATGCAATATATAAACAGGCTACTGATCGCCAACAACTGAAAGTAGATCACCTTACTAGGGATCATGGGGACTTACAGGTTTTTTTTTACCTGCATGTACCCCAGTTGGATTTACACCATCCCTCAGCTGTTGGCGATTGTGGGAAATGTTTGCCAAAATTAAAATAACAAGAATACTACGTTTAAAAATCCTGGTACGTTTAAACTGACTTTGAACGTTTTGGGACTTACGTACTCTTGTTTCAGTGTCCTTGTAGCTTCATTACACACGCTTATCTTCTTCAGACACGCATCTTCATCGGATATTACTCAGTGTTCATGAAGGAATGGCTGAACGTTTTTAGTAGGAAACATTTCCTTATCCTAAGGACTGAAGACTACAACAGTGACATGGAGGGTACACTGCGAGAAGTATATGATTATTTAAAATTGGGTAAGTTCAAAAGGAGATAAACGTACTGTGTTTGAAATTAGATGAATGTTAGACCAAATTAATAGTCTCTAAATTTCTTTAACCTGTTGAATATATTTTGTTCGTAAAGGTAACTAACAAAATCGACAAGGAAAACCCGTAAATATATCTGACTACAAACCCGGACCTATCAGATTGATTAGGGAGGTGGGTAAACTTGGTTGAAGCGTTCGTTTGCCTAGTAGAGAGCCATGGTTCGATTCACCACATGGGTATAATATGAGAATGCCCTTAAGATTAATGGAATACTGCTAAAGCGGCGTCACACTAAACTCTCTGGTTTGAAGGACGAATAAATTGTATTTCAGATTACACTGAAGATTTCCTGAATAAGATCGCCCGTATACCGCACATGCACGTCACTACGACGAAGAAGAAAGCTGGACCAATGCTCAACAAAACTCGTATATTGTTGGACAATTTGTATCGACCGTACCTCAATGAGTTAGCTGATCTACTCCAAGACAAGAAGTTCCTGTGGTTGACATGACTCACAGATAGGTACAATGTGTACAATATACAGAAGGCTGCTCAGATAAAACGATTTCATTGACGATTTCATCATTAAAAACGAGAACATTCTGGCAAAATAGGAACGTATATGTCGCATGTTTATTTGGGTAATGCCATTTAGAAAAAATCGCCAACTCAGAAAAAGAACGACAGTTGTCGGGGGGTGTAATACGTGTACAATCAACACGCCGGCGACTTGGTCAGATTGTTAGTTCCGGAAAATTGAGGTGTTGAGAATATCAGAAATAAGATGATTAATAGACAAAGTCCCCATGAATGTAATGGAATCCTTAGACAAGAATTACAAAGACTTAACTGGGTGAAAAAGCGCTGAATTCCCTCTACATTGATAAAATATGCACAAAAAGAAAGCTGTTTTAACTGGTGTAGGGCTCACGAAAATCAAAATTGGGCTAATGTTTTCTTTTCTGATGGAAGTTCTATTTGGCTTTTTCCGAACTGTGTGAAAATGTGGACAAAAGATACCATGTAATCTATGTACCAACGCCCAAAACATAACCCGAAATTTCACATGTGGGGTTGGATATCATCACGTGGAATGACGCCGTTGTGAATTTTCACCTGAAATTTGACGAAGGAACGATATGATGACATCTTAAATGGCCACCTCCGTCCAACGGCCCGAATACTGTATGAAGATAATTGAATTTTCCAGCATGATAACGGCCAAAACCACACTGAGGGCTACACAAGACAGTGGGTATCGGGCGAAAATGTCCAAATTTTAGACTGGCCCAGCTACAGCCAAGATCTTAACCTTATTGAGAATGTGAGTTAGTGTGTTTAGTTTTACGCCGCACTCAGCAATATTCCAGCTATATGGCGGCTGTCTGTAAATAATCGAGTCCGGACCAGACAATGCAGTGATCAACATCATGAGCATCACTCTACGCAATTAGGATACAATGACATGTGTCAACCAAGTCAGGGAGCCTGACCACCCGATCCCGTTAGTCGCCTCTTACAAGCATGGGTTACTGAAGAAAAATCAATTCTAACCCGGATCTTCACGGGTATTGAGAATGTGTGGGGACTAATGAAGGACAGAATAAACCAAAAAGGACTTAGAAATAATGACGATATGAAGAAAGAAGTTGTCGAATGTTGGGATACGCTGTCACACGAATTCCTACAAACTATGATCGATAGTGTACCTGTCGTGTATTGCAGGGCAAGGAGGTCTCACTAAGTGAGGTGAGGTGAAATTGGGTTTAACGTCGTGCTTGAGAATATTTCGCTCATATGACGACGTGCATGCGTGTGTATGTGTATGTGCGGCTGCTTGTACTAGCCCAGATTGAAGCTGGTTTTATAGTGCTAGCTCACTGAGATACCATGCCGCAGTGAAGCATGAATACCACACTCAAGCACATTATACTGACTCCGAGCTGACTAGTCCTTGTTGTACCCATTAATGCCGAGCGCCAGGCGGGGACCAGCAAGTACCATATTTTAACGTCTTTTGGTATGACGCGGTCGGGGATTGAACCCGCGACCTTCCGCTCTCCGGGCGGATGCTCTAACCACTACACCACGGAGGCGGTCCGTCTCACACAGTACTGAAAATACACTTAGTAGACTCTAAGAGAATCATATCTCAACATATTCATTTAAGTAAAACTTCTATAGTTTATTTACAAGTATTAGATATTTGCCGAAAAACTTTCTCAGTAATTTCTGGGAATACTATATGTGTAAACACCATGTCCTGTTTCGTATATGTTGGCCTCTTAATGTTGTGTACACTTTGTTGTAGCTTTAGGCTTGTTGCCAATACATCTCATTGAATAAAGTCTTAATTACATCTTGCGAAGATTACTGTTTGTATATATCACTCATTTGTCATTAATAAAACACCAATTACATGTATGCTACAATATATTTGCTTTCTACTAAACAATAGCATTTCCTTTTTTAGATTTTATATGCACTCCTGTACAGTATCCATTGATAAGCAAGTGTCTGAAATGGATGATCACCTATATTGGCAGTATTATAAGTTATAGCCACCTAAAACGAATTGCTGGAAAACATAGTTTACGTATAGATACTGAGGACCCAAAAAAAGTCTATAATCCTACTGGTCTGATGAACAAAATGTCTTTTTTTCTCAAAGCGTAGTAGTATAGGGAATGGGGTACGGGACCAAAAAGGTACACCAAGCCTATAAGCTCCAAACTAGCCAATTCGGCTCCCACAGCCACAAAACAATTAGTGTTTTGCACAAAACTGCATTTGAGTTTTTGGACCACTTTTTGTTTGCCTTGTTTTACTTTTGTGCTTTCCAGTAATCTATTCAACCCAAGACAGGTATACAGAAAAAAAAATCACCAGTATGTCAATGCAAGTGCACTCGAATTAGAGATACACCAGGTACATAGGTGTAGAACACAACAAAATGCCCGACAACTTCCGACATGGTCTTCGAGAGACTGCTGGAGAAGTGTCCCAACGTATTGCTTTCGGACCGAGAGAAACAAATCCTGGAGAAATCGGGACACACCTTCTACGAGCGCTACCAGATGCCTCGCCAGTTTCTGGAACTGTATTTGCTGTGCTTTCGCCAATTCGTAGAAGACAGCAAAATAGTGGATTTCGTCTACCTCTACCCACCCAACCAATTTCGCCCTGCGGCGGGCAAACTCTGCAACGTTCTCGCGGAGGACTACTGTTGCCCGGAATCCAAGGACAGACACCACCGATGCACCGACTGCCTGGCTGCTCTATCGGAACTTCCAACTCTCTTCGAGCGAGACAATTTTACATGCAAGTGCGGCGCCATCGACCACTGCATCGACAGCAAGAAATGCATACTGTGGAAAAACAAAGCGATAGACTACACACCACCCCAGGAGGAGCGACTTCCACTCGCGAAGAAATCGCGATCCCCTACTGTCTCTCGAACATAGAGAACCTGTACGACGACAACTGCCTCTTCTGGTGCCTGTGCTACCAACGCCTCATCGATGAATTGGCAGACAATTGTCCATGCAACGAGAAAGAGTCTTGTATCTTCCAACAGCTATCGGGAAAAGCAGAGCCACCACGGGGACGGGGACGGCATACTGCTCCCTTGCCCAACTATGGTGGGCCCAAGGATATGGAAGTAGCAGCCCCTCCATAAAAGGAACACCGAAAAGTCACAAACATTCTGAAAGGAATCTACACATGCCAAAAGTTTGCCGTAGCGAAATACGAAGGGAAGAACCGACTGTTGCTGCTACTGGATTCGCCGTCGACTGGATAAAACACGATTCCGGTGTACGGCTACAGGATACGAGAAAAGGTTCGAGACTCCAGTGGAATAGAATGCCTACGGTTGGTGGGTGGACCGTTTCTGTGCAGGCTTGGCAAAATCTGCCACTCGCCCATATCGAAAAGGAAAGACGATCGAGAAGTCGAGTTGCTGCTCCCAGACCTCGGGCGGGAATAGCTTTTTCTATTGAGAAACAAACACAAAGAAAGACAACACACACACACATCCCAAAACGACGACCAAACCCCTTTTGCAGTCTTTGTGGCAAAAGTGGACATCTCCGAAATCGTCTGACTCCAAGAGAAATCTAGAAACAAAACTACAAGGCAAGGCATCCGGCATGGAATCCAGGGGTAGGCAACTCCACATATCGAATGGCAATGGAGACAGAAAAAATGCCAAAAGCTGGGCAGAGAACGATTTCGACCAACCTTTCCAAGAAATGCCGAACATAGCCACCAATCGCAAAATTTCTACTACACAAACCCGAGGAAGGACATTGCTGGAGTCCGAAAGGCAGAAAATTGGCCACAAAGAGCTGAAAAGGCACTACAGAAGGAAATAAAAATCCGGAAAGAACTATGCAAAACAAAGGAGCTCGCAGAAGCCACACCATATATCCAAAAAACAATTCCAACTGCTCGTGGAAAATGCTCTCCACAATACAAACAAAGTAGGGGCAATAGCCGGCTTCGCCCTCCAATCGCCAACAGGCGAAACGAGCACTGTTTGGACTACGGCAGGATCTAGAAAGAGTACTACGTCAACACGACTTCGAGAGAACTACTGTTTTGAGCGAACACACCCTGCAAATCAAATAGACTGCATGCCACACACCGACTTCTCTAGTGCATGTAGTGGGGGTCCCTATGTTTTGGTGTCTCGTGGACCGGTATGTGGGCGGCCTGTGGTGGTGTGCTGCTGTGCTTCCAGGTCCTGTAGACGACATTCCAGAGAAACAAGGCGGCTATCGTAAGGAAAGTCCACTTTTGGGTCGATTCTGCCGTATGCAGCACCTTCTGGATATCTGGACGTGTCTCTTCTTCTTGTTCCTCGACCCTTTCCTCCTCCTGGAGTTGTTCGTCGTCCTTGTCTAGCCTCGACAAGATGTCGACCAACAAATTCGCAGTTTGATGCACACGAGCCGACAACGTATTAGCGGTTCGCTCCACACGAGCCGACAACATAGTAGCAGTTTGTTCCACACGAGCCTCGATCTTTCCCAGACGATAGTAGAAGTCCTGGACTGTCGACAACGGAGCTGTCTCGCATGGATAGACTACTGGGAAGCACAAAGGTAAAACAATGCAAACAAATAGTGGTCCAAAAACTCAAATGCAGTTTTGTGCAAAACACTAAAGTTTTTTTATGGCTGTGGGAGCCGAATTGGCTAGTTTGGAGCTTATAGGCTTGGTGTACCTTTGTGGTCCCAAAGCCCCATTCCCTATACTACTAGTGTATTTTGAGACCATATTCAACAATGCTTGTACATGCATCAGGGAACACAAGCACAAGATGTACATATAGCATGTCTCGCAGTCCCTGAACCGCATTATGTTCTAGGTAATTCTAGGTTACCATATAGAGTATCACTAATTGAGCATTTCCTGATATCCTCCAAAAGAATTCAAATTATACCATATCAATGTGTCTCACTTAAATACAAATGTGACTAATGTCAATAACTGAGCATTTCCTCAAATCCTCCAAAAAAGTTCGAATAATACCTATCAATGTACAGGCATCTCACTTTAATACAAATTTCACTAATCTCACTAAATGGACATTTTGTTGAAACAAACTATGGCTCATCTTGACCAGGTGTTATCAAAACACTAACCCCAGTCAGTCAAATCCCACTCTGGCTATGTGAGAGACCTGTTTTGACAGAATCTGGCTAAGTGAGAGGACACCGTTCCCTACTGCCCAGTCCTCCATGCAATGCTAAAGCCCTAAATGAAGCAAGTCTAGATTTCCTCAGGTTCAGTTTCTGAATTTCCAATCTGACGGGGGCTCCTTTCAAGTTAAAAATTATATATATTCAGAGACTAAGCATTTGTCTAGATGTACATAGTGCCAAATACAACGATGCGGAAAACGAATTATTAGTCTTCTTGGTAAACTTCAATCCCGACTAAACATTTACAAAATTTCATTGCATTTAAACAAAAAAGGGCTGACAATGGTTACAATATTTTTTTTGTTAATATGGTAGTCGTGCAGCCACATTGAAGATGGATTCAAACTTCTTTAACACCATAGGGTGTCATCTTAGAGGGAACAAGCTTCTGAAGTGTCAATTTTGTGATTTTTAGTGACTTCTCCGAAGATGTTTACAACGAATATGTAACTGAAGAACTAACCAATTTTTCGTACGGTATGAATTATTTGAAACCATGATCAAAATGCATGAGAACAATCATGAATGTGATTAACTATAACTATCACATTAACCCTAACGGTTCCAGGTGGGTTAGTGGGAAGTGAATACAACTACAGATGACAAATCTGTGCGCGTGTTCATTGAGTGAGTGAGTGAGTGTTGGTTATCACTTTGAACAGATTTGTGCGCGTCAACTTGTTGTGGGAGTGTGTGAGTTCAAATTTATCCTCTCATTGGCTATATCTATACCAAACATTGACGAGACCAAGCTTACACATATAGACATAAATACGAAGTAATATTTCTAAGCATTTATATAAACGCATTTGAACATTAAAATATGTTTACAATGAAAAGCACTATCACATCAAATAACACAAGTTATTAGTTATACACATACATATATACCATATTTGATACAAACCAATTTATTTCGAGTGTTTTCCGCTGAACTGATTATGTAACGATGGAAGATACGGGGCATCAACGGTGACATTTGCATAATTAAATTTGCTCAAATAAATATAATAACGATATTTAATTAATATGGTCGTTCAGATCCATATATTGTGGGTACTATTTCGTGACGACAGAGAGCTGACATGAAAATCTCTCTCTATTCTCCACATGGATTCGATGTGTAAAGTCCATTTCGATTTCTAGTCCTTTATTTATGTTTGTCTGGTTAAGTTCGTAACCTAATCGTTGGCAGATGCATAACTATCAGAACATCCGAATTTTGTTCAGCAAGTGACTCAGCTTTGCAAATGGTTTCCAGACTACTTGACCAAGTAAAGAACTCGAATTTTCTAATATGAATCACGCCTGAAATAAGTCAAAGCGACACAAACCCCCCTTTCCATATTTATTAGAAACCACAGTCTCCTCTCGGTGTTACGTTGTCCTTATTTAAGCATCTTCAGCCAAAGATACAGTCCAAAAACTGCAATGTGGCTTTGGTGTTGTCGGTGCTCCGTCTGTTAGCGATACGAATATCTGTTGACAGGAAAGTTCGTCATCCGTTCCTGAGTCCTCCAGCTTCAGCGTCAATCGATAATCGCCCTGGACAAAACATTAAGTATGAAATACCCAGTCATAGTGAGTCGGTTGATATAGAGACACAATGTGATATAGAGACAGACTCAGAACGTCTATGTAAATCCATCTCAACGTCTTCCATGCCAACGTCTTCAGTGAATGTACATTCTTTACAAAGCTCAGACACTTTTATCTACAATGGCATGCAACTTAGATCTACGTGTACATAAACAGCGTTCCTGTTATATGTACATATGTCTCTACATTTGTAAACACTTTAACGTATCATTGGCCTATGGCCTGCACTATTTAATGAATGAAACAATTATTGCATCCTGAACAGACTACTATATCCCGCATTTATCATTAATAAAGCACCAGTAAGTCACGACTTCTTCTAAACATTGAGTATGTGATGTATGCAATACACAGCCTGGACAAGTGGAAATTCTGCTTTACAGGATGGGAACGTGCAAGTGCTTCCTTGCAAGACGGACTCACCCTATCCGCAACCATTTTCATAAAATATATGCTACTGTAAGAAGCAGCCATACAATCACCACTGGAGCATTTCAGAGCCGTTGAACTCAACCAGTATACCAGCTAACTCACAACGTTTTCGCAAAGTTGTGGGAAGGTTGAAGATTGGTAACGTCATGACACAACGTTGTAACAATGTTAAGTATTACGTCATTTCATAACGTTATGTCGCAACGTAATACCAACGTTGCAAATTTACGTTGAGGAAACGTTATGCGTTGGGCTCCTCACAACGTAACTTGTAACAACGTTTCTTGTCACGATAGAGTTTTCTTCAAAACTGTTCACTTTGTGATTCTTTCTTCACTATTCAGCTACAGCATCAGAAACCTTGAGGCGACGTAAAAATGACGTATCACACGGACAGGTCACAACGTTGTGACAACGTAAATGGGAGTCCACATAATACCGTTGTTAACGAAAGTATAACGTTGTGACAACGTGAAATTGTTTGCTGGGATATTCCCACAGCCAGCAAATGTTTTCTCACAAGACGGGCTCGTGAAAGGTGTGTCTCGCATGAAGGGAACCTGAAAGTGGTATCTCATGAAAGGCACGTGAAATTGCTGCATCGCATGAAGGGCTCGTAAAGGCGCAGACTCGCAAGAAGGACGCGTGAAAATGGTGTCTCACATGAGGGACACGTAAAAGTGCTGCATCACATGTTGGGCACATGGAAGTACTGTTTCACACGAAATGCACGTGCTGCTTAACATGATAACTATTCCTCGCACATTGGCCGAGTTCTTTGATGTCTTAAATCGTAGGAGCTATGCATGCAGTTCCTGTTTACGATATGTGCATGGAATTGAAAACACTTATGAGACTTTCAACACAGTGAAGAAGACTTTCAACACAGCGGAGAAGACTTTCAACACAGCGGAGAAGTACATAAAACGTGATGGTGATAGTGGTAAGGCACTAATGCTACTTGGCATGATACCACAGCTGGTGATTCGCCCGGATAACCACTACCATTGTTGGATGATCTTGGATCATCAGACCATACACACCTTGCGGTACAACTACACCACACGACCTGGATATGTGAGTGAGTGAGTTTAGTTTTACGATGCACTCAGCAATATTCCAGCTATTTGGCGGCGGTCTGTAAATAATCGAGTCTAGACCAGACAATCCAGTGTTTAACAGCATGAGCATCAATCTACGCAAATGGCATACGATGACATGTGTCAATCACGACAGCGAGCCTCACCACCCGGGCCTAGATTTTCGAAGCTCTCTTAGCGCTGAGATAGTCGTAAGTCCCATATCTTAACATTAACTTACGACTATTTTAGCACTAAGAGAGCTTCCAAAATCAAGGCCCAGATCCCGTCAGTCGCCCCTTACGACAAGTATGGGTTACTTAAGATCAATATTCTAACCCGGATCTTCACGGGTCCCTGGATATGTAATAATATGATAATAATGATGTGGGTATTTATATAGCGCTACATCCAGGTACTAATACCCCCTCATGGCGCTACAATACTATAGGAGAAGAAAATAGTTAAAACTATTTACAGACAGACAACTGAACATAGAAAGTCTAGTAATAGGCAAGACGATTTAAATGCGTTAAATGCGTCAAAGACTCAGCATTCTTGATGTGAGTGGGCAAGTTGTTCCAGAGACTGGCGGCTGCGTGTTGGAATGATCTTTTCTAATAGGATGAGAGTCGAACTTTAGGAATGACAAGTTGCTTTTGATTCTGGGATCGTAATGGTCGGGTTGGGATGTACTGACACAGAAGGCTGGAGAGGTATTCAGGTATTTATCCATGTAGAGCTTTGAAAGTGATACATAGAATTTTGAAGTCAATCCGGAATTTGACAGGCAACCAGTGTATCTGTAATTTTTTAAGTTTCTGAAGTTGAGTTGAACTGATGCCAAAGTGCAGACTGTTGCAATAGTCGAGTCGAGAGAGAGTATAATGAATCGAACCAAAGAATGAGCACATTCTGTTGTGATGAGATTTCTAATGGAACTGATGGTTCGCAGATAAAAGTGACAGTTCTTATGAAGATGGTTGACTTGCGATTCCAAAGACAAACTGGCATCAAGATATACTCCAAGATCCTTAGTGACAGGGGAAGGTTGAATGTGATATGTTGAAATCTTCACATTGCAGATGGAGTTTTTCAGCAGCTGTTTGGAATTTCCAAGGACGAGCAACTCTGTTTTGTCATCATTCAGCTGGAGTTTCCTTGTGTTCATCCAGGTCTTTATGTCGGAAACGCAACTGTCTATGATCTGCAGATCAGTGACTGGAGATTGCAGATTAAGAATTCTGGTAACCTGATTGTCATCAGCATAGGCATAGTGCCCACTGTCATGAGAGTCAATAACCGCGGGGAGAGAGTTTAAATACAGCAAGAAGAGAATAGGACCAAGAACCGAGCCCTAGGGCACGCCACATGTTAACTCTACTTTGTCAGATGTATGGTTCTGAACTTTTACACCCTGTGTTCGCTGGTTCAAATATGAGGAGAACCAGCTGAGTGCTAGTCCTTTGACACCACTTCATGTTCCAATGTGTGTAACAGGCACTTGTGGTCAACCGTGTCTAACCCGACACTTAGGTCGAGTAGGACTAATGCCGCCATATTGCCACTGTCCAGGATCATTCTGAGATCATTCACTAAACGAAGGAGAATGGCCTCAGTAGAGTGGAATGGTCTGTATGCTGACTGGAATGGGTCAGGGATATTGTTGGATGAAATGTGATCCGTTAATCTCTTAGACACTGCTCGCTTTATGACTTTAGACAAGAAACTAAGATTTGAGACCAGTCTATAGCTCTTTAAGAGTGAACTATCCATGGTTTTGTTTGTTTTTGATGAGAGGTTTAATTATAGTATTCTTCAGAGATTCGAGAAAATGTACCTGTTGTTAAGCTTTTGTTGATTATGTATGTAATCACAAGAATCAACGTGCATAGGATCAGATTCACAAGTGGTCTTAGCTGAAGACTTGATAATAGCCAAAACATCACTTTGGGAATATGGTTCAAAGGCCTGGAGAGGGAGGCCATCAAATACCATCGTATCAGACACATGATCCGGAGGTGCAAAGGAATCAAGGTGTTTTCTTATGTTCAGAACCTTATCCTTGAAAAAGTCATTGAAGGTTTCAGCAAGTTTGTCGAGATCATCACACTGAGGAATAACCTCTTCTCTCTTCTTACCAAGAAGAGAGTCAACAAACTTTGATAGCTGTCGCGGCTTATCTTGGAGAACTGAGACTTTTTGCTTTAAAAAGTTCCTTTTACGCTCCTCAATAATCTTTGAGACTTTGTGCCGACAGGACTTGTAGATCTGGCGATCCACGTCCAGTCCCGACTTTCTCCATCTCCTTTCAGCGCAGCGTCGCTCACGCTTGGCACCGCGAATGGCTTCACAGTACCAGGCACACCCTGGCTTGTGAGTAAACCTTCTAACTTTTAAGGGAGCATGTTTTTCCAACACGGAACTGAGCACATCATTATAATGACGAGTCATTTCAAATGATCACCTGTACCATCACCTTGAGATAACAGGTGTGACAAGTCACTCGAGAAATTCTCGAGGTCAATGGCTTTCACATTCCTGGATGTGCTTATAGTCCTATTGAGTTCAGGTCTCTGCCTGTTGAGCGTTGTGAACACTATGTAGTGATCTGACAGGAGTTTGTCTTCAACGACAACTGACTGAATGAGATAAAGATTAGAACTCACAATCCAGTCTAGAATGTGTCCTGACCGATGTGTTGCACTGGATACATGCTGGTGCAGATCATGAGAGGACAGGAGTGTCTTGACTTTACGGACCTCAGGTTTGTTGACCTCATCAAAATGGATATTGAAATCACCAATATATACAGTGTTGTTATTATGTGCTGAGAATAGTTTAGACACATCCTCGTCGAATTCATAGAATATAAGTTGTTTTTGGAGGAAGGAGGTGGACGGTACAGGCACATAATCCTGGCTGTAGTGTTAAAAGATGATAATGTCACATCAATATGTTCAAACGATGTGAATACAGTATCTGACATTCTAAGACTGACACACATATCACTTTTGTAAATCACGGCTACACCTCCACCTCTACCATACCGTGGAACATGTTTGCAAACAAATCCATCTGGCGTCATACCAGCCACAAGGGCATCATCACGAGTTGGATGAAACCAGGTTTCAGTTATAAACAGCATGTCAATATTCTCATCCAAGAGGAAGTCAGAAATCTCGTTTGTTTTGCTCCTGGCTGATCGGGCGTTAAATACAGCAATACGAACATAATGTGAAACTGCCTTTGGATGTACCGTTATAAGATTGGATCTGTTAACACCTTGACCACTTTGTGAACACTGTCCAAGCCTAGCTGTGCAGACCACAGCTATCCTATGCTGCTTCCTCCGCCCGGCTCTACAACCCCGCCTTGTCGTTCCCTTAACACGTCTCCTTGTTTTCTTTTCGACGCATAAGCCCACTTTAGATGTAAAATCAACAGGAGTTTCTAGATAGGCTGGCTTTTCAAAGCATAAGCTTGCTTGGCCAATGTTGCCAAGTTGTTGCCTTGTATACACAATCTTGTCATGTGTGTCCATGGTCTGGCTTGGGTTGCTCAGATCAATACAATAGCCCATCAACTGTAGCTTGGGTATGATTACAGGTAATAATGTCCAGAATGTCCAATTTACATGGAAATAATCCAAAAAACCCCACAAATATAAAGTTTTCAAAAGCACACAAATTCAGTGAATCCATTCCAGATACTGTATGCTGTGTATCCAACAAATTTGGTAATAATAGATATGTCACTTGTTACACTCACCTTCACTAACCACTGAAGATTTTCGCTGATCTTCTTTATGGTGAAGAGCTCATGGTGCTTCAGGGCGTATATCCCTGGTGGAAAGGGACACTCACATGGAATGTCGTTCTCCTCAAGCTCTTTCGGACATTTCACAGTCTTGTTCACGTCAGGGCCAATCAGGTCGCATAAATCATATTTGCTGGAAAATTAATGTATTGATAATGATTCAAAAGGAAAGATTTCCGCCCATAACCCCCGGTTTTTTTAGCATTCTATGCCTACGATTTATGATAAGAATAGATTGGGTTTTATTATAGAAAGCCTTCCCTAACCCTAAACCTAACATAATGCTAAATCTAAACGCTAAACCTAAACCCTAACCCCTTGAAATAATCATAATAAATAGAATACATTTCAAGCGGGGTTTACGGGCGGAGCTCTTACCAAATAGATAATTGTTTTCATAAAACATTGATCCGGTCGGCAGCTTGGGGCTGGGGTAGCATAGTTGTTAAAGCGTTTTCTCGTCGTGTTGAAGACCCAGTTCGATTCCCCACTTTGGTACAATGGATGAAGTTCATTTCTGATGCCCACGCCGTATTACCGGCTAAAAGCGGTGTAAAAGTATACTCATTCAGCTTAACTTAGTGTACTCTGTGGGGCATAGTATAACTGATTGATCAAATTTATACCATTCACGAAGGGAATACATTCCTCTTAATTTCGAAGATCGATGCTAATGATGTCATGCTGCCTACACCTCGCCATAAAATATAGAAATACGATGTTATTAAAGTTTAAAATTAAAATTCAGTTGTCAATACCATTTTCTAATGATACAAGAAATTGGAATTCAGTGTAACCATAGTTGTTTATGATGTCTATTTTCACTTCCACACGAGAAAATTCGGATCGGCTGAAAAGTAGGTCATTGTCTGAATAGGTTAATGAGACTCATGTTTCGGTTTGATTGATAGACAGATCCCATTATCAATTTATATTTGTATGATTCAGGAATGAGAGGGTGAGGTGAAACAGATTTCAACAACATCACAACCGGGACATCTGAAATGGGTTTCGGACATTGTACCCATGTAGGGAATCAAACGCGTGACTTTGAGATGCATTGTAGCAGTGCTCAGCACCGGGTTTCATCAAAGTGGAAATCCAAGAAGTGCATCATTTCTTTGCATTCTTCACACGTTTAGCCCGTGAAGATACGGGTTAAAATTAGTCTTCAGCAACCCATGCTTGTCGTCAGAGGCCACTAACGGGATCGGGTGATCAGGCTCGCTGACTTGATTGAAACATGTCATCGTATCCCAGTTGTGTGCGACTAACGGGATCGGGTGGTCAGGCTCGCTGAGTTGGTTGACACATGTCACCGTATACCAGTTGCTTAGATCGATGTTCATGCTTTTGACCACTGGATTGTCTGGTCAAGACTCGCCGCCATATGGCTTGAATAAAATGCTGAGTGCGGGGTAAAACTAAACTCACTTACTCCCAGCTGCGTAGTTCTATGCTGTTGATCACAAGATTGTTTAGTCCAGATTCGATTATTGACAGACCGGAACCATATAGCTGGAATAGTGCTGAGTGGGGCGTCAAGTAACATTCAATCATCACACATCTTGAAGACACGCCGTGATAGAAAGAGAATACTGTTCAAAATGGCGTTAAACTTAACTCACTATCTCACTGACCCATTAGGATCAAAGAACGTTTCCAAACCTACAGGGTTTCTATCTCCAGCCAGAAGAACCCCAACTTCCTCTCGATCGTCACGTCCGCGGTAATGTTGCCCTCGATGGGTTGAGAGATGTTGATCGCCCCCCATACCGTGATGTTGCCTGGAATGACTACAGACGTGGGATCCAGATGGGCGTCTGTGATCGACAGCAGCTCTTGAGTCTTGTTTTGACCTGAATGAATGGATTGATAAACGGAAAATGTCTTTCGGATGATATAATTTACTGGCGATAGTTTTTCCACCTTTGTGTTAAGAAACCATTTATGGACTAGTTTTAGCCGTAGGATACATGCAGCGTGTGTTGGTTGTAATAATGTAAGCCTACAGAAATATATTTATGATGAACATGTAAGATATGAAAGGGAGTACTATAAACATGTTTGTGCTACAGCTATAATCCAACCAGTGAAGACCCCGGGTTAGAATTGATCTTCAGTAACCCATGTTTGTTGTATGAGGCGACTAACTGGATCGTTTGGTCAGGCTCACTGACTTGGTGGGCACGTGTCATCGTATCCCAATTGCGCACCCATGCTGTTGATCACTGGATTGTCTGGTCCAGTCTTGATTACTGACAGACCGCCGTAATGTAGTTGGGATCTTGTTGGGTGCGGCGTTAAACAACAATCAAGCTAGAATTATCATCCCTGAACCCAATTATTCCTATACAGGAAGGAGCAGAAAGGTTCATATTTAAAATACAAGAATCAAGTACGGAACCAAAAAACACTCACTGCAGTCAACCACTTTGAAAGCCGATTTGGCAGACGTGTGGCCAACAAGGAGAAGCGAGATGATGCCGAGAATTGCGAGTGTCGCCATGACGTGGGGAGCGGTAAGTGTTACGTGTTCCTCCAGCAGGAGGTAAGTGTAAGTACTGGAATGGAATGAGATTAGCTATCAGTCACGTCAGTCGAGAACTTGCAGTAGGTCAGTAACCTTTGTACACCAAAGGTGCGGCCCAAGACTCTCTGTAGGAAGGTTATCAGTAAACACTGAACATTAAACCACTTTCTTTGACGGGTCTGAAACAATTCGTTGCCATGACACTTTTTAATCCTGATTGGTTGGACAATGGTTACTTTTACACCCGGATCGAGCGAGATGAAATGCTATTTAAGGGCAATTCTCTCAAAAACCCGCGTGCGAAATACGGGAAGTGCACGTTAAATCTCCAAGTCATTATCATCACATAGCCGAGTGGTAGACAGTTTAAACGATGTGTTACATACACCGTTCGAAAAACCGCGTTCGGGATGATCATAGAATTTTATTTGTAAGTTCAGCAACACATTTCGGGGGGTAGAAAATCTGGAAAACAACGACTAAATTACGTATGTCTTCCGATTTACAGTAAATGTCAAGCGTCCTTTTTCAAAAACATTGTGACGTTGTAATTTTTGTATAATTTTATTTCTGTTCACCGGTACATGTTTTACAATAAATGGATAGTTCATAGTTCAATACACATAGTATCTAATCAAAATGGGTATGATAATTCAGTAGCTGATGGGTATGGCTTTTACAGTAGATGTATTGTTCAGGTAAACAGGCAATGACATATTGACCAGTATTTCATGACTTTGGTGTAATCACAAGTTAAGGATGTGATATATGTGATGTACGACATATTGACCAGTATTTCATGAATTTAGTGTAATCACAAGTTAAGGATGTGATATATCTGTCTATATGGTATGTATTGATTATACTGGAGATGTGGTGGTCGTTTCGATAGTTTGTATTTATACATATTGAATTTTGTTGTATTCATGTTCCGATTTACAACATCATTTCGCTTTTCATAATAGCCAAATAGGATATGTTGTTTGGTAAAATATAGTTTTATTCCTGTTTTCTCCTCGATCCAATCTTTTAGTTCTTTCCAGTTATAGCTAATTTGTGTACATTCGTAAAAGAGGTGTGTTAATGATTCAATGTCAGTTTTGCATAAGTCACATTTATTATTGTTCGTATATTTCATTTTATATAGGAGGTCGTTCGTGGGTAGTATTCTGTAAACGATGTTGTGTTGAAACCATTGTAGTTTGCTGTTTGCATGTGTGCAGAAGGGTATATAATGTATGGTTTTCCATTCTTGTTCTGTCAGGGTACATCTGAGATTGTTCTCCCATTTCCGAATGTATTTACTGGTCTTAACATCGAAAGGATTTGTGTTTAATGTGTCATAGAATATTCTACAGCCTTTTTTCGTTTCGCATACATCTTTGATGAAATATGGCAGAATTGGTGTTTGGAGTTTTGATTTAAGTTTAATGAATTTGCTTGTTACATTAGAGTCAACTGATTTAAGTATGCCATGGTATTCAAGGAAGTTAGTTTTTATCTGATATTTCCTCCGAAGGGAAGAAAGGTTTATATAATTTCCGTCGTTATCAACTAGGTCATTAATGTAGTGGATACCTTTGTCAGAGAAGTGTTTATATAAAAAGGTGCTTCCTCCTATTCTAATGTTCTTATTGTGCCATAAGGTTTGGGAAAGGATATCGTATTCGTATTTTGGCATTTGCACCTTTAGAGTATAGGTATAACTCCCAGCATTTCAGGACATCCCTCCAGAAGGGGTTTGTTGCTCGATTTGTTGGTTTACATGTGAGGTTATCTTCATTATTATGAGGTGGTCGAGAGATGATCGCGTGGTATTGATAAGAAATAATTCAAGGGTTTTTATACTGACTGACTGACTGACTGAGTTTAGTTTTACGCCGCTTTTAGCAATATTCCAGCAATATCACGGCGGGGGACACCAGAAATGGGCTTAACACATTGTGCCCATGTGGGGAATCGAACCCGGGTCTTTGGTGTGACGAGCCAACGCTTTAACCTCTAGGCCACCCCACCGCCCCCAAGGGTTTTATAATTAGGTCTTGCTTTCAGCAGTCGCCTAATCCATGATATTTGTTTAGACGATATTATCTGCCTTATGTTTGGAGCTCGTAATCCACCTTCATCATATGGATTTGTAATTGTTTTCCTACTAATTTTATCGGGTTTGTTTTTCCATATAAATCCGAAGCAGAGTGATTCGATTTCTTTGATTACGAATATGATTTTAATATAGTATTTCTTCCTAATGGAGTGGGGCGGTGGGGTAGCCTAGTGGTTAAAGCGTCACGCCGAAGACCCGGGTTCGAATCCCCACATGGGTACAATGTTCGAAGCCCATTTCTGGTGTCCCCCGCCGTGATGTTGCTGGAATATTGCTAACAGCGGCGTAAAACCAAACTCAGTCATTCAGTCCTAATGGAGTTAGATCACGTTGTAACCATATATTCATAATTGACTTAATGCCTTTTAGTTTGTCTCTATAATTTCTTTCGACCATTTCCGCCAGGTTGTGTGTAAAGGTGATGCCTAAAAGGGTGAAACTTTTCTTTTCCCAGTCTAATTTCCATTGTTTACATAATATTACACCTGAAGAGCGTTGTGAACCTATCCAAAATAGTTGTGTTATACTCCAGTTTATTTTAAGGCCTGAGAAAGCAGCGTACGTATCTAGTGTGTTTAGCGCACTGTGTACGCAGGCTTCATTTCCATTTAGAATCAGCGTTGTGTCGTCAGCGAATTGTGATATCAGGAGGTATTAGGTGTTTCCGATTTGTATTCCTTTGTTTTTTTCTTTGTTACGTAGCATTATCGCTACAGACATGAACACGACACTGAGTATGGTGCTGACAAATCTAGATACATAATTGGGGCTACTAGGTATTGGAACTCATAGCTTTCTGGTGTGCCCAAGGGACGCAACTCTGCATAGCGCGTTAAGCGCTCGAGACCACAGGGTCGCCTGCAACCGCTATTGGCAGAAATGGTAGAAAGTAACCATCTTACAAACGTAGATTGTGGGAATTTTTCCATGGCGGAAATAGACTGATTTCAGAGACTGGATAACTTTAAGGTGTGCCCAAAGGGACGCTATAGTGACAAGTGTGCTTATCTTCCAAATCGTTCTTATCGTGTTATCGCTGAAGACAGCTGTTTTGTCATAAACCTTCGGTGCCCGTGATATGAATAAAAGGTCAAGTGGACAAGTGGTGTGCAAAGTTCGATTTCACACGTGTTTACTGTATGTAGACCAATACTTGGAGAGATCATCTGATTAAAAAAGTCGTAAAATATAACCACACTCGCTTAAACTTAAGTGAAATGTTGTTATGAAATGCAGTTGAGTGTAGACGTGAAGCGCTCGTTAAATACCCCGTCGACTGCAATGCCGAACAGTGCTCACTCAGGTAATGGGTAAATGTTGCAGTTAGTGTCTGCTTTATTACAGAGGTTAGTAGATAGAGAGGTTGAGTGGTGTGGAAACAGTGGGTGATAGCATGAGCATGTCATATTGTTGGGATCTGATGTTACACATTCAGTAAGGTCCGATTTTTCATCTTCCCAACCCGATGAGGTGGTGTGAGCCGCTTTTAGCAATATTCCAGCAACATCACGGCGGGGACACCAGAAATGGGCTTCACATTGCTGAAACGTTGCGTCCAAACTTACGGTATGTGTGTATGAGTGTGTGACGAACTTTGACAAGCTCTCAACCTGTCGAAAGCGAGTTGAGAGAAATAGAAACTTCCCTATGTCATGCGACGGATCGTATGGAATTGACCAATCAGAAACGCCGACACAGTAAGACAAGAGTTCAGTCCTTTGTAAACATGGAGTCCAAGAGATATCAAGACCCGCTCTCAAAGACTGACACTGAGTATTTTATCAACTATTATAGGTAGGTCTGCGCAGTATCCACTGCCAAACCCAAACGCATTTGGGTTTTCTTTTTCATTTACCAACTGTACGGCAATCAACGCCAGCGTCTCCTCGACGCTTGAAGAGGCCATTTTGTTTGAAAACTACGAGATTATCGCGAGATTCCAAGTCGTAATAACTCATTTAAATACAATTTTTAAATCTACATGTAGATTGTTACGGGTTGTTACTACAAGTCGCACCGTGAGAACGGGCCTTTACGCTCAAAGGACAGATCCTCCGTTCCGTACACCACCCAAGGAACAGTCACCGATTAGGACAAACATGGATTACTGGTGAACTATTCTACTCTTGAACAGTTGACTAACCTTGGCATATGATATGTTTATGACGGGTGCCGCCGGTTGGACTCGATAGGCTCACCTTCAGATTCATCAACGTATGCTGAGTCATGGTATTTCGTAGTGTCACTCGAACTGTGGTGATCCGGGTTAGAATAGATCTTCAGTAACCCATGCTTGTCATAAGAGGCGACTAACGTGATCGGGTGGTCAGGCCCGCTGACTTGGTTGACACATGTCATCGTATCCCAATTGCGTAGATCGATGCTCAGGCCGTTGATCACTGTATTGTCTGGTCTCGATTATGTACAGACCGCCGCCCTATAGCTGCAATATTGCTGAGTGCGGAGTAAAACTAAACTCACTCACTCACTGCTTTCAGCAGAGATTTCTTAACAATGTGGAAAGGATTTTGTCGGTTTATGTCATCCACAAATTGATTCGTTTACAGCGTATTTCCAAATGTATGTCTTGTTAGTTAAAATTAACCTCTCGCTGAGACATGTCCAAAGCACGCCACGCATCAGTCGATTATCGGCCCCTTAAAACCCCGGTAAATGTGACAAGATAGGCGACAAAGATATTCATGATGACGAGAAAATTGTAACACTCAAAGTAACGTGGAACAAAATGTGCTGACTGCAGCTGACAGTACTATCATATCAGTATTACTTCTTTCCGAGAAGGAATCCTCCATCTACTCTATTGTGATATTGTCTCGTGTCCTTCCAGGCACCACGTCCGCTGTATTGAGACACCATTTCCTTTCTTTCATGCTACACGGAGACGACATCCTCTTCATCAAAT